AAATTTTGTGTTAGATATACTAATACTCCATCCCATCCATCTGGAAATTTTGGTTCAAACTCTTCGATATTGGGTAAAAGATGACTCTTCTTTGAATTTACAAAGATTCTTTCTTCACTGTACCAAAGATAAGCAACAAAGTTACTAAAAAAACTTACCAAACAAAGATCACACGAACACAACTCTGACATCAATTACAAATTATAATTATTTCTACATAGAACAACAAGGAACAAAAAAAGTTTCAAATATAATAGAGTCCAACTTTAATTAAAAAGTTTCAAATATAATAGAGTCCAACTTTAATTTCTAAGGAGGCGACAAATTTATAATAACTTTAAATAAAAGAAACCCTTAAGTTGAAGCATATGCAGCAAATATAATACGGAATGAATATACATCAGGTAACCAGTGTGCTATTTTTGTGGGATTTTTCTATTGCTTCGAAAAATTCTAGAGAAGTTGAGACGCATAGTACTACAACCTGAATCCACGAGCAAGAAATATAAAATTGTAAACAGATAAATAAGGGAACAAATAATAAGTTCAAAATACACAAGATTCAGGGATTGGAATGACTACAAATCAACAGATGAAGAAATTATTTATTAAAGAACAACTAACATAAATTAAAGAAACAAATAATCCTAAAATGAAGCAACCATGAAATTAACAAACCTCAGCTCGCCAGTCTCTTATTGCTGTCGATTTGTTTTACCTTTTTTTGGAAATTTGAAGGAAAGTTCGGAACCAAACAGGCAAAATCTCCCACTTTACAGTAAAATTAAAAATAAAAACGTAAAAAACAACTTATCTAATAGAGGTCGTAAGCATAACACCAGTTTTGGAGCAATAATAAGATAAAGCAAACACAAGATAAGTTAGGAGCGACGCCCCATAGAAAGCTATGAAGTCTCGAGAGAGTTTTCAACCACTAGGTTGATTAATATAAGATGGAGGAGATTCGACATCTGATTGTACCTTCAACGCTGCTCTCCTTAGTAGAGGAGTTTTTCTTCATACGGTTTCATCGGGGATCTAAGATTTTTTGAAAGGGGTGAGGGTAAACTTCTTCGATGGTTGAGAGATGAGTGAGTTTGAGAAGGAGCAAGCTAGGGTTTTCTGTGGTGGAGTTCGATGCAAAATGTAATGCCCCCAAAAATTTTATATAATAAAATTTATTTGATCTGTGTTATATATTTATATTTTGAAAGTTGAGGGACTAAAGTGAAATAGTTAAATTTAAATTTTATTTGGGCCTAATAATTAGATTTTGATGGAGTGAAGATAAGCATGTCAATATTAGACTCTTTTTGTAGGTTATAATTAGAACTATTTGATTGTTATCCTTTGGGATTAGATAACTTTTTTAAAATTGATTATTAAAAAGCTCATTTCATGGTTATCCATAGGGATTAGAATTATAAGTTTCACTAGGAAACCAATTCTACACAGACCCATTCACTATATCCACGTCTCATTGTTGCAATGAAATTCAATTGATATACTAGGTTATAAGTCCTATAGATACTCCCGTGAGTCAAGAGAATTTTCACCACAAATATATTATACATTCAGGGCCGAAGAAATCCAAAAGCTAAAGAGAATCCTACAATATCACCATATGATATATTTTATTCATACAAGACAGAGAGCAAAAGAAAAAGGTTTTTACATGCATTATTTTACAAACCGTAACAACTTTTCAAATCTATCAAAGTAAAATATTTTTGTACAAGTGGTTTATTTCTTTACGGTTTTATATATTCAATTAAATATTTATGAATATACAGTAGACCTTTGAATTTTGTAGAAAGAGAGATGAAATCCTATGAAAATTTAAGATGACCTAAGATAGATGTGTTGCTTGGTCACCAATATACTCCATAAGAGAAGATTGGTATGAAATGTATAATTTATTGTTATATAATTGTATGTGAAAACTCCACGTATCTTACTGGGTATTTTTAAATACTCACTCTTATAATAATTTCACATATTAAATTGAGTCGATTGGAACTGTAGGAGGATGGTGATACAGACTGCTAAGAAGATTTGAATAAATATAAATATTAATTTTTTTATCTCCCAATTTAGTAGTTAGTTTTTGCTAAGATTCTAATGTTTATTAAAATTTGGAGTATTACAATATGGTATCAGAGCACACATCTACCTTCTAGTAGACATCTTTAAAAAAAATAATAATAATAATCACGTGAACAATGCACTTTCATATATTAAAAAAATTACGGATTTTACTTTTTTAAGGGTTAGATATTAAATGATTGTTTTATATATGGAAATATTAGTTTTAAGTTGATTTCAACACGATTTTACGTGTTTATCTCTAGAAACTTTTATTTAATGAAATTCCTATTTTAGAAAATTTTTAAATAAATAAGATCAAAGCATTTTGATAAGAATTAGGAGTTTAAGGATAATGTTTTTGTAAAATTTTGATCATGTAATAATGTGAAGAATCCTTAACACGTGACGCTCACTATTTGATCACTTTCCAATAGATCCAAGGTATGAAATGAAATGTCATTCTTTTAGTATGATTATGAGTAATCTTGCTTTAAGTTATAAAATACTATAAGTATGTCAAGGTCAAGTGTTCGAAACTTTTCAACTAACTGAGGTAATTTTGAGGACCAAATTCTTTAATGTATGGGAGATTGTAATGCCCTGGAAATTTTATAGAATAAAATTTATTTGATCTATATGCTACATATTTATATTTTGAAAGTTAAAGGACTAAAATCAAATAGTTAAGTTTTTTAATTTTATTTGGACCTAATAATTAGATTTTGATAGAGTGAAGATAAGTATATTAATATTGGACTTTTTTATAGTTTATAATTAATTAGAACTATTCGACTTGAGAAAAAGTTAATTCGGTTAAGTTAGATTCAAGATATTGAAGTTTAAACAAAGTGTCATTTATTAATTTTTTTAATTAAATATAATTTGGATGGGCGTAGCCACGTGTATCTAGGATGATTATTAAAAGAAAAAACTTTTTTTTAATTGATTAGATTTGTATTTGAATTATAAAGCTCATCTCATTGTTATCCATTGGGATTAGAATTATAAGTTTCACTAGGAAACCAATTCTATACAGACCCATTCACTATATTCACGTCTCCTTGTTGAAATGAAATTCAGTTGACATATTAGGTTATAAGTCCTATAAATACTCCCATTAGTCAAGAGAATTTTTCACCACGAATATATTATATAAATCCAAAAGCTAGAGAGAGAATCCTACAATATCACTATATAACATATTTTATTCATATGAGATAGAGAGAGGAAAAGAATACGGTGTCACGTACATTAATTACAATCCATTACAACTTTTCAAATCTATCAAGGTAAGATACTTTTATGCGAGTAGTTTATTTTCTTATGCTTTTATGTATTTAATTAAATATGTATGAATTGTAAGTGGACCTTCGGGTTCTGCAGAAAGAGATATGAAATCCTACTGAAATTTAAGAGGACCTAAGATGGATGTGTCGCTTGGTAACCGATATATTTTATAAGAGAAGAGTGGTATGAAGTGTATAATTTATTGTTAAATACTTGCGTATGAACACTGCACATATCTTACTAGGTATTTTAAAATACTCACTCTTATAATAAGTTTACAAGTTAAATCAAGTTGATTGGAACTATGGCAAGATGGAGTTGTAGACTGTGAAGAGGATTTGAAGGAATAAAAATATTAAGTTTTTTTTTTATCTTCGAGTTTATTAGTTTGTTTTTGTTCAAAGACATGTTTATTAATTAGTTAAATGATTATGTTTAAATTTTTTTCAAACTTGAATTCCACATTTTAATTGATATTTATGGTTGAAAATAAAAGAATTATTTTTATATGTGTCGGTTCCACATTTAATGTGAAGAAAGTTGAATTTTTTATAACACTCTAATGTTTATAAAAATCTGGAGCGTTAAACAAAAAGGAAAAGAAGAAATGAGATTCAATTTGTGGCCGAGAATACAAAGAGAAATAGAGAGTGATATAGCTGTGTTAAAAGAAATGGAAAGTTAGATAATTGCGTGAGAGTAGAAGCAAATCAGCCAACGAGTTTTCAATGGCCGGAGTAAAAAAAGTTTGCACGCAACCCTATGAATAGTGCCAAAATCAAATCATTGTTTTAATGTATAGGGCAATTATTTGAAAATAATTTAAATTATGATAATAAATATTATAACTCTACAAAATAATTGAAAAAGTGCAAAAATAGATAATTAAGGATTTTAATTAATGAACAAGTATTATGGTTTACGAGTTCATCATAGTTATCCCTCTAATTTCAATTACCAAATCTCAGCAGTACTCAATTATGTGTATCATGCCGAGTTCTTCTAATCAAAATTTATTTAAATCTCTCAAATTTAAATCAATCTTATTCAATTAAGTTAACTCACTATATCACTACACCAAAAAAGACCTTTTGCAATGGATAAAAGGCAACATTCATTAATTAAACGTTGCTTAAAGTGTTTATTGCAACATTTTAATAAGTGAATGTTGCCATTGTTGTTAAAAATTGAGATTTGGCAACATCTTTTAAGTGAATGTTGCAAATATACTCTTTTGCAACGTTTATTGAATGTTGTGAAATTTTATATTTTCGCAACGTTTAATAAATGTTACGAAAAGTGTCCTTCGCAACGTTTAATAAACGTTGCGAAAAGTTAATCTTTTGCAACGTTTATCAAACGTTGCAAAAAGGGTCTTTCGCAACGTTTAATAAACGTTACGAAAAGTTAATCTTTTGCAACGTTTATCAAACGTTGCCAAAGGGAAACCCTCTTGCAACGTTTAAAAAAAGTTGCGAAAAGGGTCTTTCGCAACGGATTTTAAACGTTGCGAAAAGGAAACCGAGTTAAACCGACTCGATTTGATCCGCTAAGAAAAAAATTAAAATTAAAATTTTGAACAATTACAATTATGCAACCCTAACAATTCCTCTATCACGGGCAATTCTTCCTCTTCCATTATAATACCATAAATCTTCTCTCTCCAATCCCTCTTTCATCCTCACGCAGTTTAGAGAAGATGAAGTTATTGCCATGGTTGGGTCTTCATCCTCACGCCTCTTTTCATAGTTGCCTCTCTCTACTAAAATTCTTCGTCTTCCTCTGATTTTGAGCCTTTTGTAACGCTAATTTAGCATATTTTGGGTCCTGTCGTCTTCAAGGTATGCCCACTTACTATTTATACAATTCTTATTCCCTTTATTGTACAGAGTAGGGATTCACACGTGAAAATTTAATTTTTTATTTTTGACGGGAAATTAAGAAGTAGGAGATTTTCTGTCTCGACTGGTTTCTTTAAATTGGGAGGCTGATTTTCATTTTTGGGGCTTTGCTTTGTTTGAAAAGTTTTGTACTTTTATTCTATTATTACAATGTTAATCAAGAAATTGATGTCTTCCTTCTCGTTCAGGATGACATTTGCAGCGTTAAAATGATGGCTGCCATCTAGTTGTTGGGTATGTATTCTAGAAACATCTCTTTTTATTTGTTTCCATTTTTTCCTGAATTTTAATGTGAATAATTTTCTACCGGTATATGTTTGTTTGATGATCTTCTTTTCTTTGTTTGGGGTAATTTTTAGGATTTTGAGGGAAATTGAAATAAGGGTTACAGTCTTATGGGATTTTGGCATTTGAAAAAAAAAATGAATTTTAATTATTGGCCTATAAATTTTTACTCTTTATTTCCAAATTTTGTCAGATGTATCCGATACAGATTTAGAGAAACCAAAACATCACCTCCAATTCATGGGACTGTAATTGAAGAATTGGAAGTTTTATTGATTACCTCTCAAAAGAGTCCATGAATGATGTTCCCAAAGGTACAGTATCATATGCATATTATAAGAATTATTGCATGTTTATTTAAATGTTTTATTCACATTGTTTATTCTGCTTATATGATTTATGGTTCAGAAGAAGTTCTCTAATTCACAATGTGTGAGATACAAAGGGATATTGAGATAAACTCCATCAGCCAATTCACAATGTAATTAAGTTGTAACTTGTTCGACTTCAGTATTATTGTCATGTTATTTGATCATTGATCATTACTTATGGGTTTCCACAATGCATCTAAATTAAATACGTTGCTTTCGAGTGTAGAATCGATATTTTGCTTCATTTTGGACCATGCGGAAGAAACCATTTGCAACAACAGAGCACAGAGCATAGGATGATTAAATAATTTGATGATTATTCATGTGGACTTAAATAACATGACAATAATTCTTTTTGATGAGGGGATTCTTGATTTTCAATAGGCCTTTGCTGTTAAATAAATAATTTGATGGTTATTCATGTGGACTTAAATTTTTCACAGGGATACTGATGTAGTAAGTGGATTTAGACTGTACATGGTTTCTTCTTGTTTCTGATGTATGGACCAAATTGTTTAGGATTTCATGATTACAAAAAAAATTAAAAAATAATTATAATAATAATAAATGGTTTGTTACTATTGTGTTATAGTTTATGGATTGCATAAAACCAGTAAGAGAAACCTTTTGGTATAGAAGATAATGTGATCTATTCACTGTGGATATGTTGAACTTCATTACTACATCTTTCTAGCAATGCACTTGTGACTATGCTTTATTTGCATTTACTCTAAGTGATAACTGATAACGACTCCCCTAAAGTAAGGCCTTGATTTGTGGGTTTATACTTAACTGACATTTCATTACAAACAAGTTTGGAGGGTGAGTCCAATCTAGCATGGCCATGGCTATTGTATGAGACTAGGCACCATTCTCAGGACGATCCTAATTGCCAACAAGTGAATTGGGAGGGAGGGTTACTTAAAAGTAAAAGATGGGTTTATTAATGTAGCCCATTGAGAATATGGTCCATCACGGACGTCAACTTTGAAATGAGTGGAGTGTGAGAACCCTAATGTGTCCTATATCGTTAAGGCTTGACTTGTGGACATGTAATCACTTGGGTACCCTCCCCTTACATGTGAGTTTTAAGTCTAAATTCTACTGAATGGGGTTTTAGCACCTCGAGCAACATGAAAATATTTTGCAATGTCAGCCGCCTTAATGGACTTTATTGTATGTAAATCTTGACATTTCAAATAATTTGATAATATAGTAGGGCAAATAAGAGTCCTTTATTGGAATTGCATGAATCCCATGGTCCCTAGGTCTTCAACTTTGCCACTTGAGCTACATCTCATTTGCATATTGTATAGAATTTAGAGATTAGGCAATGTTGTTGATATTTTATTTTTCTAATAATCTTTCAATCATGGTAGCAAGAAAATTTTCTTGTTTATTTCAAAAGCATAATGACTTGAGGAAGATTGGTTTGTCAATTTGGTTTCATTTTGAAAATGCTCATTTTAGCAATTTACGAGAGAAGCCATTAAATAGCTCTTAGGGTTAGTACGCATTATTCTTTTCGAATTTTATTGTGTATGTAGTGCTAAATAACATTGTGAAAGCATCTTCTTTGTTAATTATATTCAATGTTGTCCAATCCAACATACAAAACATGCCTGAAAACTTTATGTCCTCTTATTTTCCTCCATTGCATTTTCTTACAGGATAAATTAGGTGAATGGACTTTCAAGAGTAGAAGCAGAGACGCATTTCATGAGGGCTACATGTTTCCTATGCTCGTCGCAGAGGAATTCGATGTTTACCGGAGAAAAATGTCCATCGGTGAATATGGGTCAGTTCCCTTGTCAAAATCTATGTGCACGCTTATGTAAAGTTTGTTCGTAAACAATTTGAATTGGTTTTGTGTAAGTACTATGTCGAATATTTTTCTTGGTCTTGAGAGGCAAGAATTTTAAGGGCTATTTTCTCCAAAGTCGTCCTATATATTCTTCTCTGGTCTTTTGGAGACTCATTTGCACCATAACTTGTAGGCATCCTTCAGCTCTAAAGTGAAAATGGCATTCGTTTTGTTTATTTCAGTATCTCACTTTGCTTTCTGGAATTTTTGTTTGGTTTCTCTCTATTGATCGCATAACTAGGGCTTGGGAAAAGATGGAAGTGGCATGGTAGACCCTGTCCAAGTTCAGGTCATGGATACTAGAGCGGTTACAGGGAAATCAACCTAAGAAGTTGGATCCAAAACTCGAAGTGCAGGCTGGAGATAGTTATAAAGCTGTTATTCAAAAGAAGGCCATTGCCCAGTTTCGGGAAATATCATAGGCGAGTTGACACGGAAGAAGCTGTTTTTCTTGGTGCTCTGCTATTTGTTATCCCTTTTGATTTATGTTTGTAGAACTGGTGAAAGTCACTGGAAGCAAGGTTAATTTATCACTCTAGGGTTGTCAAATAGTTGAAATTAGAGATTGCTTCAATTAACTGGTGATCTTTATGTTATATTATGGTTACTTGATTTGTCCCTTCGTCTCCAATGCCATTATTTAATTGCAATTTGTAGTTTGGATAGTTTATTGTAGTTTCGAGCTGTATAGAGGATGCAACAAGAACTCTTTAATCTTTACTCTTTTTTAGTTAGGTGGTGTTGTATCACATTTTAATGTTCAAGTGTATTGATTCAAAAATTTTTAATGAAATTATTAATTTTTATGCAATTCCAAAATTTGTTCACAAAGTGTTATTTTCAATTTTGCAAGTCAATTTACTATATAAAAAAAATTCTACGGCAACGGTCGAAAGATGTTGCAAAAGCTAGTCGTTTGCAACGTTTAAACAACATTGCAAAAGACTACCTTTTGCAATGTTGGATCAACATTGCAAAAGACAGTTCTTTTGCAACGTTTGTTAAACGTTGCAAAAGAACTGCATTGCAACGTTGCAAAAGGCAGTCTCTTGCAACGTTGTTTAAACGCTGCAAAAGACTGTCTTTTGTAACGTTGAAAAAACGCTGCAAAAACTCGTCCCTCAATAACAACATCCACCTCTACATACGTTAAAACGCTGCAAAAGACCTTTTTCAGCGATTTTTGACCGCTGCAAAAGGTCTTTTTTGGTGTAGTGTCTCTTTTTTAAATCATGATAAGTCTTAATTAAGAGTATACAGTCACAAAAATATTCAATTAATGACTGCAAACTTAGTGAAGATATATCTTTTACACAAATTTCAATTTTTACTATGAGGTCTAAAATAATAACTCACCTCTCGAATCCTTCCTGCTTACAAATCAATGAAACAATACCAAATTGTTTTAAAGCATGAATAATAAAAGTAAAAATAATACACAAATATTAACTTGAGATCAAAGCATAATAAATAAAATTAAAGTTCAAAACTATAATAAAATATTTCATCCAAACTATTGATTTAGTTGCACATTATGGGAAAAGAGAACATATGGAGCATTTGAAGTACTTCGCCGCTAACACAATCTTGAAATCCTAGCTTTTTCTTTTCTTCTCTCTTGTATATTCTCTCTGTTTTACTTGTGACTCTCCATTAGGGATGTCAATTTGACTCGTCGGTTCGAATGACATGTGACTCGGCCCAAAAAGGTTCGAGCGGACTTAGCTCACTACTCGTCGAGGATCGTTGGAACCGAGCCTCATTTTCAAGTGTTAGCCCGAGCTTGAGCCGACTTGTCGCACTAACACGGGCCAATCCGTGTATAGAGCCTTTGAAAAGGTAGCTTTAAAGGCAATTGCCTTAATAAAAGTAATTAAAATTTTGGGGAAAAAAAGAGCCAGCTCAACTTTGGCTCAGTTTGACTCAGGCAAATAAAGCTCAACCCATTTTTACCGAAGCCATGCTCAAACTATGAATCGATTCGTTTACATCCCCACTCTTTATTGTGTCCTCTTTGTTTTTATCTAGACTATATCTGTCTATAGTGATAGGCCCATCTCAAAAGTCATGCCTCAAAATGAACCTAAAATGACCTCAAATAAAACAAAAAGAATCCAAACTTTTCAATGTAGGAAAACTGTGAAACAACCACGTCCAACAAGGAGCTTGGGATCCAATCGCGCTAATTGTGGTTGATTACCATGATCGGATCATGGAATCCATTGATCACTTCTAATCTTGGTTGAGCTATGGTTTGCAAATAGCAGTCCCCCCCCCCTCCCCCCCATCTCTCCAATTTTTACAGTTTGGTACCTATTTTAAGTTTTTCATATGATTTTAGGTTTTTATACATATCTTCAATATCGATCTCACAACTTCCAAAACCTTATACGTTGATCCCCGAACATCCATAATAGCCCATAATTGTCCTCAAGTTTTGAAACTATAAAAATCAGTCCTCATACCTCCGATAAGTTCATAAAAAATTATAGTCTCATATCCCACATTAATATTACAATTCGGCTATGCTACTAGGAATGAAATGACACCTTCCCTGACGTCTCCCTCACAATAGGGGGAGGGAAGCAAGTATTTTTTGGGTTTTTTTATATTCACATGGTTCCCACTCCATGTGAGTATCTGTCAACAAAGGTGGCAATTTCTTTCAGGCAAAGGAGCATAATTCTTAATATTAAGATTTCAATCGATATCTCAAAAGCAAAATCTTTCTCAAGCATCATGAGAAGACAACTAAATCTACATTAACTAAATAACAGCATTGTTTGCCTCTTACAGCTAGCTCTCTAATTTCTCCTTTCAAATATAAAAAGTAACATTATCAAACTACTAAATATAGATAGAGTCTTCTAAAACAAGCTTAAATTTGCAAAACCACAACACAATACTTGTTGACTTTCCCATATTAAGATTACAAATATAATCCAAAAACTACAAATGAAGATTACTGCGATGCTTTTATAGTCAACAGCCACATTGAGAAAATTTTCTAAAACAAAAATCCATCTGCATCAAAGTAATATAACCGAGTGAGATCTCTTCAATCAAAACCCTCATTCTTGAAAACATTTCTAGTGACAGCCAAAATATCTGCATTACAAGTAATTCTCATAAGCCAATTGTCAATTTTGTAATATTTGAAAGTGCTACTTTTGCTTGGGGCAATCTCTATTAAAAGGACAATAATCGGAGTTAGAAATCAAGAATGTTTTCTTTGTTAATCATTTGACATGAGAACAAACTTCAAACGATATATTCCTTACAAGTGACGTGAAACTATGTGGGACAATCACCACAAAAGTGCATTGGAGATGAGAAATGGAGTGATAACTTGGACTATTGGGGCAAGAAATACGTAGAATCATCTTTAACTCCTAAGATGGAAGGTTATAATCAACAAAAGACTAGGGATATCAATGCTGAACAACTACATAATGCATATCATTCTCTTCTACTGCTAAGTTAATTCTAACTATTTCTGTATAACAACAAGAATGCAACTACTCAAACAAGAAGCTAATAGCTCAGAGAAAATAACTTACTCATATTAAAAGATTTCCAACCACATGATTCTTTCTAAATCATCAAAGCAAACTGCAAAAAAGAAAGAAAATTACCAAGACTTTCTAACTATGTGCTAGCAATTATTAAATTAATTGGCATTTAGAAAGATCATGTACAATGAATGACTACCACACAGAAAGCCAGAGTAGTCCAAACAATAATTCTTTGTCAATTGAAAATAACATTAAGTGGAATGACAGTAAGATATTCAATAAACCTACATTCTTCACCCAATTATTACAATAGAAACCTGAAAAAATGGAACCCATTTCTTGATTCCTCGATTTCAATTTCAATTCAAATTTTCCACCAGAAAAATTCAAGTTCTCATCTTTTACCTCAAATTCAAGAACTTTAGAAATTTCTTCCTGAAAAAAGCATGGACTATCAATTTGTCAATTTCAACAAAACGGTCAAAGTGGGAACTATAGTGAGAGAAAACAGATGAATGCCTAGGCTTAACTTTGGCAAGCAACAAAGCCACACTTGAAGTTAACGTTTACACGTTTTCATGTGTCAAGAATCAAAATAATAAAAGCAAGTCCCTGAATTAAAAAATTTCTTTACACTCTATTCCATGAAACCAAATTCTCCAGCAGAATAAAAGCATGTCAGACCAAGGGCGGAGCCAATATATCTGCCTGCACTGGACTTTTGGCCCCAAAATATTTTTTTTTGGTTGTTTAACCCAGTAACCCAATTATCTATCCAACCCAGAGAGAAAAGCCCAATTGTACAATGCCATGACCCGTTTTAAACCCATTCATATCAAAATTCAATTGAATCAATTGTTGACCCAAACCCATTCATTCATTTCAAATTTTCAACCCTTTGTGACTTTGTTTGTAATGACTTTGTACTTCGCCACCCACTTCCCTCTCCACCGGTGACAATGCCCGTCATTCCCTTCCCTCTCCGTTAACCGTCATCTCCGACAGTCGTCATAGTCTGACTGCCATTCCCTTTCCCTCTCCGACAGTCCATTATTGTACATCCCCTACTCTAGGCTCTCATCTCGATATCTCACATCTCTGACTCCGACTCTACATCTTCAACTCCACCAAGGCGCCAAGTGCCAACGCCAACCGACCGAGCCAGCAAAAGAAGAAGCCAGATTCCAGAAAGCAGAAGGTGAAGCCCCAAATTTTTTTCCCTTATTTTTTTTTTATTTCAATTTGTGTAAATTGTAATAATATTTGTGTTTTTTTTAATATATGAAATTAGTAGTTTGTTCTTCAATTGCTCGAAGCTGCACAAACTTCCAGTGGACCACCAGTTCATTGTTGCCTCTGGGCTCTAGCTCTCTGCGAATCTGTGAAAGTAAGTTCAAGTTGCCTAGAATTTGAAAATAGTATATATTGCATTGTGAAATTGTGAATTGAACTGTGAATTGATCATGTGAAATTGTGAATTGGAGTATTGGATTGTGAATTGATTAAGTGAAATTGTGAATTGCACTGTACAAATGGTATATATAGGTATTGGCGTATTGCACTGTGAATTGATTATGTGAAATTTGTGAAATGCACTATGAATTGATTATGTGAAATTGTGAATTGCACTGAATTTTGTTAGTTGTTTCGAGTATTTGTGATTCATTTGACAATCTCAATTACTCCTACTCCTAGTAGTAATTGGATGATCAATGGATGAATGATAGCACAATTGTTTATGTGGAGAAAGATATAGTTTTGAAGCTCGATAATGAAATTATTGTACAACGATATCAAAGTATGAAAACTCACAAGGAACAAGTGTAATATATTAATTATGTCTTTTTTAGCATTGTTGTATTATTGTTTTATTTTTTATCGCCATTAAATCCATGACCAAAACCTCGACATTCGTCGTCGAAAAATTTTTGCCTGCACTGAACTAAAATCTTGGCTCCGCCTCTGTGTCAGACCAAAATATATGAACAAAGTCGCTCATGTTTTTCTTAGCCTAATCGACATTTAGAAACAAAATACATGAAACTATAACTGATTAGCAAATATTCGCCTAATAACAAAACAAATGAAAACTCTTCAAGGATTACCTAACCCTTGAGAACTTTCAAAACTAGCTCAAGCTCCTGTATCATAAGTTTTCTCCATTCTGCCTCAATGTGTTGTGCCTTATCACTTCCCATCATCGTCCAATTCTTCTTGAGCATATCCGAAGAGATTATTCCTCCAATATTCATTTGGAAAGACTGAGGCAATAATGGGTAATTTGATTCCAGGTTCA